CCTAGGATTTTCGAACATCTAAACAATGGTATAGTTACCCATTTTTGACGGGTTTTTACCCTAAAAAGGTCACCTAGAACTTTCGGGAGCCTTTTTCTGGCTGAAATTTTCGAAAAGGTAAGTTTTGATCCCTGTAGTCTTCGGATAACTAGGACTTTCAGCTAGGAAATCCGAACAGATGAAAAATTAGTAGGGGATAAAAATGTTCCTAAATCTACAGTTTAAGGTGGTTCGACCGGATTTTCTTGGGGGGGACACTCCCACGTTTGAGCATTAACTACGTCGGCGTGAGTAAAGATATGGGAAAAAGGTTACCACAACTGTATTATATAATGATGGAAATTTCTTATGATCTGGGTTTTATTGCAATCGGAGTCGCCATGTAAACGTAATGACGCCGTTACGCTTTTCTTTTATCTACGTGTTTCTCTGTACCAGGAGTTTTTTGAAGAAATACAATTACAATTCCAATTCCATTGAAAACTACATACAAAAAAAAAATTCTGCTTATTAATTAACGTCAGTGACTTTGGAACACTTTTGTGTACTCTTATCCATTGTCTTGAATTCCGATCAGTCCTAACATGGTGACCGGGTTGTCAAGACGAAGGTTTTTACTGCTGTTCTTAGTATTGTCATAGCTGCGTGGACTGTAGACACAGGCTGCGTCAATCAGCAGGAAACAACTTGCATGTACCATACCAACCGTTAAACGAACAGAAGCCTTCTCGGTTAGGCCTTGACCAATCCGAGAATCCTGCGTAAATTACTATGTAATCGTGAATGTCTACTACAGCGTAATTTTTACGTGCGTACGCGCGTAAAATTTAAGTGCGCAAATGAAATAGAGGTAATGAAAGGTTGCGCGTGAACGTAAAAGTTGAACCCCGCTCAACTTTCACGTTTACGCGCGACCTTTCATCCAGGATTTCTGACATAGCCGCTGTTTTCTTTAAGTGTGTAAAATGAACGCGCGTATGCAAGAAAAATTTCGCGACAGTGGAAACCAACCTAAAGGAAGTGTATGGCCTCCTCTAACTGTATCTATCTCTATCTTTGTAGTGTGACTAACAAAAACTGAGGACTTGCAAGATCGAGTAACTGCAGTAAGTTCACGAGAAGAGCTTGCTCTTCCTCATCACTAACCAGTTCATAACAGGTTGTCCAGGATCTTGTAACAGTTGGTAACAATAATAATAATAATAATAATAAGGACTTCTATAGCGCCATATCCGTAGGCTCATGGCACTTTACAACTGAATATTTCAAACCGAAAATTTTGTACATTAAAAACATTTACGTTAATAATAGAAAACAAATATATAAAAATACAAGTTAAAAAATCTTATTTAAAAATTGAAATTAAAATTTAAAGATTAAAAAAATTAAAATTCTTATCGCGATGTTTACACTATATACATTATTCTGACAGAACTTTAATTAAAATTGGGACTTGCATGGAAGTTTATTGCTAGTTCATGGGAAACGAAAATACAAGGACAAGAAATAAAATGTTTATTCCTGTATTGAGCTTCGACTGTTTTAAAAATTACACTTCTTTACTGAATGAATCGTTCTAGAGCGTGGGCAACCTGTGACCGCCCCAAGCTGCCAGATACCCGGCCACTTCAATGTGGGAACGGGTCGAAGAACGAGACTAATAGCCAGATTTTTTTGTTGTTGTTATAGTCGTTTATTTACACAACACTTGTTACGGTTACAAATTTTAAAACTAAAAGGAAGTATATAACAATATTACAGATGGTCAATTAATATTATGAATTTTAGCTCTGACTGCAAATTACAGATCATATTGATCCATGCAAAGTGACTCAAGTTATTCAAAACCGGCGATTAAGCAAGAACATTTAAATGAAGCAAAATAAAGATGACCGTTCCGTTCTCACGACGAAAACAAACTTTCCTCCCATTGAAGTCACTGGAATGTTACAAGAATTGAAAAATTGGTCTTACTTTTTCAGAAAACAAAAAAACTATCTTCCAAGCGTTCGATCATTCTTTCGAGTATCCTACAGTAATTTTCTTTAGTGATAAGATCACATAATTCCACATAATCCTGCTTTAGTGCTTTCAAAGTGAAGTAGCTGGCTAAGTGTACACAAGCCGCTACAACTCTTTCTAGCTGGTACTCCTGACCAACAATTAACAAAGACAGAATTTGTTCTTTTTCGTCTTTAAACTGCTTCATTTTAAAAAAGGGAAAAAGATCTTTAATGTGTAAACAACCAGCAACCACAGAATATGAAGCGTTCCAAAGAAAGTGTTCACACTTACGAATAGCACAGTCGATTTGATATTCGTGAGCGAGTTTAAGTAAGAAGAAGCAATTGCCGTTTGTCACTGCTGGCGACTCTGCACAGGAATAAACCATCACTAAAATTTCTTTGAATTCCTCGCTCGCTTTGTTTGGAAATGAGATTTCAGTTTCCTTCCTCTCTGAGAAGTTCGAAGTAAACATTTTTTCAAAAACGGGGGACCACATTGCGAGGACCCAGCGATGAACATAAAACCTTTGTTCGTCGACGAGAAATATCACATCACTTGATCTCCATGGCTTGGTAAAATCACTCCCGTTTAAGACTCCTTCATTTTCCATTTTCTTCAGTCCTTTCTCCACCGCTTCGATGACTTCGTTATTCGTTTGATCCTCCATTGTAGCAAAAGTAATAAGAGCGGTTTTTGTTCGTATTTGTTTCATTTAGAACAACGGAACAAATCATTATTGCTCAGCTAGTCACGTGACAGGGTTGATGGTAGGGTCTTTTGTCTTCTTTATGTAATGTGCAAATTACCAGTTTTGATTTCAATCTGTAATCATTATTTTCTTTTTGTGGTGGCATTCTGAGTTGTTCCCTGTCTTATACTTTATGGCTAATACCTCGGATAAATCAGGATAGGGTTCTTTCCGCCCTCTTCAGCGCAGATTTTAATCTCTAGAAAAGCTTTGATTGAAGCGCTGCACGTTTTATGTGGCGCACCTAACGAATGAACTATTGGGCAAGACCGCGTCCTTTCATTCATTTTGTGGCCAAAATTTGCATTTAGTTTGGCGTTTGAACAACCACTACTAAAAAAACTTAGCAAGTTAAAAGTTACACTGTTTTACATTTTATCCCCTTTACGAGCAGAGTGCACTTTAAAATTTTGTTAACTTGTCTTGATTTTGTCACGTGTCTATTCGTCACTTACTAAGGTAAGCTGATTTTAAATAGCACTAATACACCACTGATTGTCGCTATTTTTACGTCCCGGCAATGTAAAGTTCATATTGGGGTCAATCAACCGTTCATTATATGAAATAGATCATACCAATTTCTAACTTTATTATTGTGCCGAAGAACCGCGAGATGGACCATTTAATTTGTTTCCAATGCGGCGTTTATAGAGTGTTTTCACTCACGTGACCAGCATCTATGCAAATTTATTGGAACAAAAGAAAGCGTTTGCATAAGAAAAGAGTTCAACTCCCACAGGATTGGTTTGGGACACCAACATGGCCGCCGTTTCATTGTTTTGGGACACCAATATGGCCGCCGTGACGTCATGTGAAAACACTCTATTCAAGGGCGACGTTTATTTCGAAATCACTTTTTTAAAAATCACTGACAACAGTTATCGTAAAAGAAAATATCATGTAATTTAAAGGTTCCAATGTCTCTCTTACATTCCTGACTGATAGAATCGTTAAATGTCTGGATGAGGTAAATTACCAAGTTGTACCGAGGTTTTTCTTATTATACTCCAGTAAACGCCGTATTCTTCTGATTAGGTGCTGCGTTTATTCGAGGGCGGCGTTTAATCGAATAAATACGGTAACGTCACACGACTATCACAGTAAGCTTAACGTCAAGCTCGGCTTTGTTCCGCAAGGGCTAAGAGTTTTAAAAGCCACTTCTCAGACGGTTGCCGGATCCGAGCGCGGATTAACGACCTTCGCGAAAGACTCACTGCGTTGTTAATATGTTCAAAAGAGAATCGAAACCCTCCATTAACTTTTAGAATCTTCATGGTCCATAACACTGGTCGCGAACTTTTGTGAACAAGCAAGCCAATAGACAGCTAAGGAGATTTAACATAGTAACTACGGCTGAAGGTGATTGTCAGGCAAAACGTCAGTCACTGTTCTGATAACATTTGGGGTGCTACAAAGCTGTTTAAAAAAGGCCTGGAGTCGACCAGTTGCCGCCACGGGTCGGAGGAAGCTAGATTTCGCTGGTACCCGTAAATGTCTCTTTCAATTGACAAAATGGCATGTATGAAAGCGGGTGGAAAGTTTAAACAAACAAAAGTCAGCCATCGAAGATCGTGTAGTACATTATTTCTTACGGCTGTATTTAGGTCTGTTGTGAAGATGGGGATTTGAGACAAGCCAGGCGCGGCAGGATCAGGTAAAGACAGTGACTAACAATAGTTACGTTTTATCTAAAGCGAACTGAAACCGCTTCAACGGGCCGGTCAAACATGATGAGGGGGTAGCCCATGGACACTGACCAAACATAGCAAACATATCCCCCTTCACAATAAAAAGCCATCTCAACTAATATCCTATCGTACATTTGCTAATGTAAGTTGGTATTTGGTAACCGAGTTTCGTTCCATGTTATCTTCCTCGAATCTTTTAATTTTCGAATATAGAAGAGGCTTTTATTAGTGACACATTGGTCGTAGAGTCTGCCGGTTAAAATTTTGGAACAGCGATAAGTTAGTTTCATAATATGCCTTTAAAAGAAAAACAAACATAGATGTTGATGTATTTCGTAAATCCTTTAAAAAATCAAAGGCCCAGTGGATCTTGTTTGATCCGAGAAAGCAGGTTCTAAAATGTTTTATGATCTCTCTGACATGTAGGTTTGGATACAATCAACAACAAATCTGAAGACTTGCGAAAACTTTAATGCGGTCCGGGTAATGTGGTTTTAGCCCAGTAAAGGAACACTACACCTACGCTGAGGCAGTTTCTCCTGAGATTTTCAAGAATAATGACGGAGAGTGATTCTAAAGCGCCAGTTGAAAAGGAAGAATCAAGCTTCCGTAAAATTACGGTCGAACCAGTTATATTCTGTTACGCGTTTGGAATCATCCTCCATGTTCCAGTAATTCAACAATACATTCACAAAAGAGTAGCTGAGAATAAAGGCGTTGTCTACAACACTACTGCAAGTTTAAGTAACTGCGATTCCATTCCTATCCCGAAAAAAGAAGAAACATTAAAAATACAAAAAGAGGTTCAATCTGAAGCGTCGTTTATGCAGTTGGGAATGGTATTTTCTGCCAGCGCTCCGTCTCTTCTTGTCGCATTATTCTTAGGGGCCTGGTCCGACCGAGCAGGGAGACGAAGAGTCATGGGGCTTCCTATAGTTGGTAGTGCAATAGAATCCGCAATTATACTGTGGGTTATTAACTTCAACCTCCCTATTGAAATGCTGCTTTTAGCGGGATTTATCAATGGTGTTTGTGGCTTTTTTCCCACAATGGTGTTGTCTATGTTTTCATATATAGCAGATATCACGGAGGAATCCCAGCGTGCTTTTCGCCTAGGAATCTTGGAAGCAACTGCTTTTATTAGTGGCATGCTAAGTCATTTGAGTAGTGGTTGGTTAATAAACAAAACAGGCTATACAGCCCCCTACATTATAATACTTTCTCTACACAGCTTTGCTTTGGTCTACGTTGTTTTAAAACTTCCAGAATCAAGAGCAAAACATTTAATGGAAAATTCCACCGTCAAAGTTTTCAGTTTGCAACACATCCGGGTCATTATCCATATTTTTACAAACCCTCGATCTGGGCAGCTAAGATGGCGCATGTGCTTATTAATGCTTGCATCTGGTCTCATGATTGTGTCTTCAATCGGCTTTGGCAGTGTTATTGTATTGTATGCTATAGATCGGCCATTATGTTGTAACTCGATTTTGATTGGCTACTACCTAGCAACAAGTTTTTTCGTTCAAGCCGTTGGAGCAGTATTGGGACTCAAGTTTTTGAGAATTGTTTTATCAGAAGTAGCTCTTATGCAGGCAGGAATCATATCCGTCATTTGCTCGTTGGTCATGATGGCATTTGCTAAAACAAAAACTCACTTATTTATTGGTAGGTTTAAGCCGACATCGTAGTTGCTTTTCAATTTTCAATTTGGTTATTGAATTCACTCCTAAACCAATTCATTTATGACAAATTTATGATCGTCATGCTAACTTTCAAATTCATGGATGAAGTTGTTCTTTGGTGTTACCATTCAAATGAACCTCTTTGGTTAGATTTTCTCATAGTACTTTTTCTTTCTTTCGATGTTACAATTTGCAATTTGTGTGAATTTGTTCTTCAGCAACTATTAAGAGTACAAAAGTTACCCGCCTGTTGACTTCCAATAATCCTGCATATTGCTCATGCTAGACTTAACCCGGCAAATTTATAGTTTAGTGCCAGCAAAACAGTCAAACAAAAAAATTTCACTAAAAAAAGTTTTTTTTACAAAAATTATCCTCTGCTCTATTAATAATTCAAGAAGCGTAGTAATGCTTGTAATTTTATAGTTCCTTTAGCAGCATGTCTTGGTGGCATCCCGACTCCCATCATCAGAGCTATGATGTCCAAAATGGTGAATTCAGATGAACAGGGTAAGCGCTTTTTTAAATGTTTCCGTTTTATTTGGTACGGGAGAGGGGACACCCTCCTGTACCAGGTGTGGGGCGGGGAGGGGGGACGGGCAAAGGTGAGGCGCATATATTGGAAACAAGGCAAAAGATAAATTTATTTATTTAGCGCTAAACGTTTATACATATGCTTAAAAAGACCACAGCGAGCATGCCCTTTGGGATGTCTGAGTGAACCGATGTTTTTTACCTTAACTATTAATGGCCTGAAAATGTTGTAACAAAATAGGAGGTTACAAATGATAAATAATCAAGAGACGCTAAAAGTAATATACTAAACACTTGTGCAACTTTTTTTTTATGTTGCATGAGGGGCTGGGGAGTAGGGCTGGAAGTCTCACCTGGAGAACTTTCTCGCAAGATACGTACATTCACTACAGTCATTAGTATTTCATTTACTACGGTCATTAGCGATACATTTATAATGAAAGTCATAAGCAATGGTTTTAGGCCCTGGTTATACGCAGAAAACATTCCCCGCGTAGAAGCATCACCATCCCGGCCAATTCTTTAGCAAGCGTTTATATGAGAAATTCTAGATTATACAACGTTTAAGTATGATTACCTGAAACAGCGCCCGCGCATGCTCTGTTTATCCCACCTCGACCGAGTTGACCGGCTGGATGAGCCAGAGTGTTTACATGTATATGACTTAACATCGAAAAAGAAAGACCTCGCTAATCTGGTCATCCTTTAAGCCGAGCCACATTTTGTTTTTCAGGTAAACGGTTCGTCATGTTCAGTTGTAGTTGCCTTGCCCAGGGTAGCTCGGGTAGGCCAAGTGACCCTTCTTCCCGGGACAACTTTTCTACATAGAAGGGGCCCCCTGTTAGAACACGAATTTGAATGTGAAACACTTTCGCATTATATTATCTGTATATAGGTGCGTTATTTGCAGCTGTTGCTACTCTGGAAACACTTTGCACCTTATTTGGCGCCGCCTTATTTAACTCCATCTATCCGCTGTTTGTTCATGCTGGTCTGAATGGGTTTTGTTTTCTGGTCATGGCGACCCTCATGCTAGCTGCACTCATACTAACAGAGTAAGTATATATCACCAGTTGTAGAGGCATGTTTACCAACTAAGTACTCAGTGCAGACTGTGAGATTTTTGCGGATCTAAGTCAAGTTAGTCCAATAGATATTCCGTTCATTATGAGAAGAATTAAGAATAAAAAGACAATGCATGAACAGTCACAGATTGTGACGTCATCTGGACACACCCAATACCACCCTACCCAAATTACTGAATATCCTCCATTTTTTTCGTAACAGGTTCTATCGCACTCCTTATCTGAATGTGAATGACAAGCATGGATTTTTCTTTCTGTCAAATGAACAAGCGTTCTATGGACCACACTTACGGATTTAGGGCCTGTTTATATAAAGGTGGGGGACCCCAGGTGGGTGAGGTAACATGTCGCGGGTTACCCCACCTAACATGCAAACGTGATCAAATTAAAATGAGAGATTATATGGACAGGCGGGTCACCCCACCTAAGCGGTTTTCCTCACCTACCTGGGGTCCCCCACCTCCACACAAACAGGCCCTAAATCTCCCTTTTTTGAACAAAAAGCCATGCTACAGGAATTTTTTTACTACATTCATGGATTAACCACTTTGGAATATACTTTAAAGAAAGAATAGATGGAGGTTAGACGCATTTTCTAGGCCCCTCAATGTAAGCTAGGATCATGTCAGGAGCGTGTCCCCAGAGAACCAGAGATAAATCGGAAAAGCAAAGAGCTTAGTCATTTAAACAGATCTCGTGCGAGGAGTATTAAAACAATAATGGCAGTAGTATATGTGTTGACCTGCCATGTAGCCTCATGCATGAACAATGTTCAGCTTAAACTTACCTTTCGATCATGACATGAATCGTTATCGAGGAAAGAAATAAGAATGAAGAGATAGAATTGCACGTCTAATTTGTATAGGTAATAGAATGATTTGTAGTGATATTTGGCATAAATACCACGAGTGATATTTCAAAATTGAACATAATTTCACAAGCCGTTAGGCGAGTGAAATTTGAGACAATTTTGAAATATCTGAAGTGGTATTTATGCCAAATATCACGTACAAATCATGCTATTATTTGTTTATACTACTGCCCACAAAAGGTTTGTAATTTTCACATGTAGGTATTTCAAATTTAGCTGAAATACCACTGCTCTAAGCCAATCAAATTGCAGAAATTTCTCGTGTAGTAGTATAAGTCCATTAATCGAAGCAACAACAATGAAATTACGGGTTTAAAGTTCGCAGATAGTTTGTATTTGGCACTTAGGTAAGAAAAGGGTGATTAGATAAGACTATTATGGGCTTCCTGGTGGACTTTTTCTTGGGGCAAGATTTTTCGCCTAAAATAAGATTATTACATCCTGTTGGAACTGAGATAGTAAATGCCTCCCCTTTTCCCCGCAAAATGTAGTAGCAAAATACATAGGTAAACGAAAAGGAAAAGATATTCCTAGTTACACTGATAAATCTCTCTATCCCTACCCCTAGCCCTGCTCCTCACCCCTCCCAGAATAAAACAAAAAAAGCGTGCAATTTAACAAATCGACAACAACTTTCCATGGCCTCTACTCTTATCGAACTTAAGTGGGAAATGGCACAGTTATTGTAAAAAAAATAAATCGAAAGTCAAACTCAGCTGAGGAGCTGCGTAACCCACGAAACAAAACAATTTGAACAATTTGATGCCACTGATCCTCAAGTCATCCTTAACTTTTATTATTATCATATTTACGTCACAGGATTTTGAGGCGAAGAGAGCTTGACGACAGCATTATCTTTGGAGAGCAAGGAGGTATTTTCCCGCTATATCAAGCCCATATCATGTTATCAATTGATTTTATCTGTTGCACGACTGGCAAAGTCTAGCCATGTTCTTATTTTTCTTTTAACTCTTGATCGGATGTTAAAGTTTGTTGTGTTTGTTTTGATTATAGATTAAAGTGAAGGCAAATGATTTTTGACGAAAAATGTCAAGAAGGGCTCAAAACACGGCAAGATTAGTTCAGAAAGAACTTAGCAGTTGTTATTACAACTACCAACGAACTTTGTTCGTATGAAGTACTACTACATTACTGTATTGATTTTAACTATTTTTTTCCTATTTCAAAGTTTTGTTTTTATTTGCTACTATCCATTACGTTTTATTTCATCTCTATTTTTATGGCTTTGTCTTACAGTGATGGGTATCCCGAGTAGAAAAGCAACCATGACTGCTGTAGAAGACCTAAATGTAACAAAATGTAATAAATTCAGTTTTGGAAGCAAGGACCAACGTTATAAAATGGAAAAACCGGATCCTAATTAAGGATCTATATCAGCTATATATAACTTAAAATATAAAGCTAACGAAGCAAGGCTGATTTGACAGTCGGGAATATACTTTTTGCTATCACTATTTCGGAAGGTACGGCCTTCTGAAATATTGGTAACAAAATATATATCAGCCCACTGTAAAATCAACCTTGCGTCAGTTTTGCTCTAAATGTAACAAGATTTTGCCCTAAATGTAATTACATTTGTTATTCAATAAAATAAACCCTAAGGGCCAGTTATTTAAATGTTTTTTAGCCAGTGTTTAACAAAACCGCATTCTAAGCCATTTTCAATTTGCAGAACGGTTCTATCTAAACACCATTTATTGTGAACAGTTTTATGTAAAAGCATACAGAGTAGACAAGAAAAGTAGTCTAAAGATTTGTTAAACCACGGCTTAAGTTAGACTTCATTTAAATAATCAACCCTAAGAGTCATATCATTTGGTCTTAAATGTAATGACGTCATGCTAACGTCCTCATTGACGCAAGTAACGCATCAATAACTAGCTAGCTGGTTATGACAATGGCCACGTGATGTGTCGCGCTGCATGAAAACCAATCACATTATCATCAACCACTTGACCAACTTATTATAACACCCAACGTGACTGATGAAAACATCAATCATGTGACCTCTTAGCATTAGTAAATGCTAAAACTACCAATACTGTACAATCTAGCTTAAAGCAAAGAAAATAAAATGATGCATTCCTTTTTTTTATTGAAAAAGCACCGTTTGCTAAAACCGTCAATTCAAAAGAATGCTGCACGCACTGAGTTTGCTTTTAACATGTTCCTTGCTTTTTGTCGTGTTCTTTCTTTCTTTCGTTACTTTTCTTTACTATTTTTTAACACTCCTCATTTTCTCCGTACTCCTAACTCCAAAATCCGTGACCCGTATTCCACATTTTCCACCTAACCCAATCATGAAAGTCCTTTCAGGAAAGGCGGTTATGTCAAACCTAGTCAATAATTTCTTCTCTAACATCGGAGAGAAACTGGCTGGCAGTTTCCAGCCCCAATATCTATCTCACCTGGCCATGTCAACTAAGATTGATCCCTGTGTCAATAACATTGCACTATCGCCTTTGGCCATTGAGGAAAATTAGCTAATCTCAAAACAAATAAAGCGACAGGACCCGACAACATATAACCAAAAATAGTCAAGGAAGCTGGAGATGCATTGCTATCCCCGTTGATGTTCCTTTACAATATGAGTTTGAAAGATGGTTACGTCTTTAGCCAGTGGAAGACTGCGAGAGTCAATCCTGTTTTTAAAAAGGATGACGAGACTGAAATCGGAAATTATCGCCCCATATCTCTTCTCAGTGTTCCGAGCAAAATACTTGAAACCATTGTTGCTGATTCGATCATTCACCACGCATTTATTGAAAATAGATTAATTACAGACAAACAATGGGCTTACAGGAGAGGATATTCTACAGAGCTGTTGCTAGTACATATGACAGAAATTTGGAGGAGTGCCATTGATTCAAATAAAGTTGTTGGTATAGTGCTGGTAGATTTCCAGAAAGCGTTCGACTGTGTCTTCCACAATGTGCTATTACGTAAATTAGAAAATGATTTTGGAATTAATGGAGTGCTGCTCGACTGGCTGCGCAGTTACCTTGACAATAGAAAACAATATACTGTCCAAAATGGTATAGCATCAGATCTTAACACTGTTAAATCTGGAATACCGCAGGGTTCCGTTCTGAGACCAACGTTATTTTCTCTTTACACAAGTGATTTACCTGAAGCTATAACCACTGCGACAACCTACATGTATGCTGATGATAGTACCCTTTATTGCATTGGCGATTCTATTGACGCAGTAATTTCTGAACTTAACAAAGCTTTGGAAGAGCTTCTATACTTGTGCAAAACAAACTACCTTGTGCCTCATCCAAAGAAATGCGAAGCAATGATCCTCCATCGTGGAGGATTCACTTACCCATTGAAAGAGTTAACATTGGCCCAGCACAACATCAAATGGGTTACACACTCTCGTCTATTAGGCGTATTGATAGATGATCAACTAAACTGGTCTAAACATGTTAGTGTTATTAAAAAAGGCTTTGTTGATAAGTTAAACTTGTTAAAACGTAGCAAATTTCTTCTAAATAATATGGTATTAGACTTGTATTTTAGAATTATTATGCCATCAATCGTATATGGTATATCAGTATGGGGAGGCCTCACAAATAAGGAAGGTTTTAAGGCATTAGAAGCACTGCATTGTAGAGCTGCGAGAATTATCTTTGAGCTGCCTTGGGAGATGTCTAATGCAGATGTTATGAAAAACGCTAATTGGTTTTCTTTAGCCTTTATGTATAAAATTAGCTTAGCTAAGCTTATGTATAAAATCCACAATAACCTGACTCCAGACGCTATGTCAGCTATTATTAAGAACAATGATAACATCAAGCGATATCAACTTAGGAAGAAACTGAAAATTGATGTCCCTCGTTTTAACACCGACTACATGAGGAACTCTGTAGCTCGTAGAGGAGCAATAGTTTGGAACACGTTGGTTCCTCAACTTAATGACGATATAGACAATGTCGAGAAATATGCGATTATGGCAAGACGGTCAAAGGCTCTGCTACACCTAGATTTCGACTGCATCTGCCCTCAAACATTAACCAGAAGGGAGGAAGATTTTAAGTATAATTAGTGTTAATAATTAGTCGATACTAGAGTACCACCTTGTACTTTAGAATTTTAAGCTTTTATCGTTTTAGACTTGTAAGTAGTAAGTAGCTATATAACAATTATTCACCGAAGTGGAGGTGGCTAGTGATGGATATTTACCGAAGCTCACTAGCCACCGACACTGAGGTGAATAATTGTTTTAGTACATACTAAAACAGTGAGATAATTGAGCCCAAAAATGATGATTTTTAACTCATTTTCTGTTGCCTGCAACGATTACAATTTTGGCGCGCAATGACCGAACGGCCGCTGTCGTCGCTTTTTCTTGCCGGCAAATAAAACTTTTGAAGGCATTTGTTTACCTCTTGCGGGGAAATTTCCTCAAAAGGAGTTGTGAATTCTTTTTGTATTTAAAATCATTCTGTAAAAAGGATTATTAGATTTAGTTTTAAGCTTATTTATGAACAAGTCAACTAAAAAAAGTAACGCAAGACTTAAACTTAATTTGCATTTGTAAACAACAAAACTTTTTCGCCGGTTTTATCGATAAATTCAAGTCAAAAAGACAAAGATTTACCTGTGAAAACTTCCACCCCGAGCTTCGTCACTTTCTTCGTGTATTTCGGAAACAGCTTGCTTGATTAGTTGTGAAATTTCTTTGTTTGTTACGGCAGCAAACCGGGAAGGCATTGCGCAACTTTGGCGTCTCTCGCTCGGAGGAACTGGAGGTGAATCAGTGAATAGTGCAGGATTGCAGGATAGTCACTGATTGTCACTGATTGAGTAGCCAATCAGAGCGCGCGAAAAACACTATCCACTGTTTTAGTATATACTAAATGATTTTAGCTGGTGGATATCCTACTTATTTTCTAATTCATTAGTTATCTTATTTAATTATTTAGACACGACCCCACAAGCGAAGCGTCGCGTTAAATACTTATCGTGGATAAATAAAGGTTATTGATTGATTGATTGAAGAATTCTGATCACTGCAAGGACATTGTTCGGTCTTTTTGAACCCCAAAAGAACAATTTCATGGCTATACAGTTTTGTTGCTTTCCAACTAAATTTGCCACGAGGGTCAACCTACCCTTATGAATTTTGATCAATTTAAAATTTGAAGGTGCATTCCTTCATTTCCGGTTTGTATTTCTGTCTCCAATTAGAATAAAAGAGTGTAAGTATTTTGTCGCTCCTCAAAACAGCCCAAGACATTGCTTCAAGCTGCCGTTCCACGCATTAAAATCAACTAGCATGTGCTCAGAGATTTAAGCATGTGAAAATAAAATCCCGTACACACGTATCTGTTTTTTAAAAGGAAACAAATTCAGTTTTTCCGTTTTCAAAAACTAAGGGTCGGTTGTTTAAACGAAGTCTAACTTAGATCGCTGTTTAAGAGATCTTTGGACCTCCACATCTCTTCTTTACAGGGCACCCAACGTCAATTTTCGCAAAATATCTGTTCGGAAGACGATTTGAGATCTAGAATTTCGGAACATTTTTGGGTAAAATTCTTGCTTGTTTACCTCTCCTAGGATTTTCGAACGTCTAAAAAATGGTATAATTGCCCATTTTTAACGGATTTTTACCCTGAAAGGGTCACCTAGAATTTTCGGGAGTCTTTTTTCTGGCTAAAACTTTCGAAAAGGTACGTTTTTATCCCTATAATTTTCGGATCACTAGACTTTCAGCTAGAAAATCCGAACAGATGAAAACTTTTTAGGGGATAAAAATATGCCTATATCTACCGTTTAAATACTAAAATACGTTTAACAATGCTATGTTTAAGCGGTTTTGAACTATACTCTCGTTGGGTGCCCCTGTTCTTTAGTGGGTCAATTGAAAAAGATAAATTCTTTTCTAGGCTGCACTATATGCTTTGCTTCTTTTCTTGCATATTTGTCATCCACGCTTTTGATTATCATACTTGATGAATTTTTAGTCATCCCGGTATGTAACGTGTTAATTATTCTTCGCCGACCATACCTCGAGTTTGTCGAAACAAAAAACTTGACGATCAGATGTCACTATTTAACCAATAGAAAAGTTTATTAACCACGAGGCGCCAATAAGATTTGAAATGAATATCAAGCGCGACAACCAAAAATGTGCCACGGTTTCAGTCGATCCATTTTCAGTTCATCATGTGCGAAATTGTTTTCGTTTTGTCTTATCCACCGGAATTCGACCATTTTTTTGTGTTTTATACGTAAATAAGACGCTGAAAACCGGCACCTAAAGATGGAAGAATTGGAGAATCTAGGAAACAGCGTTAACACTAAAAAGGTAAGAGAAACTTGTCTTTTCATCGACACTGCAATCCTTTTATAAAAGAAAAACTTTGTTTATTTGTCGATAAACTTTCCTTCAGGATTAGTATAGCCAAGGAAAAGCTGACTCGGTAAGTCTATTGTTTGCTACAACTTGCACATCTACCACGTTAACATTCATTGGAGCCCTGCACGTGGACAACGGATATATTATTTTTCGCCCTTGTTTGGTACACATATTGCTATTAATTTTCAACGAATCAGAAGCAATTCAAATATATAAACACATTGGGTAAGCTTACCTTAATATCATTTTCATCAAAAAAAAAACAGCACACATGAATATAGCATAATTCAGACTTGTTTGGATAAAAAAAACTATTGTCAGGGTTAGGTTCATTGTTATGGATGTTTTGTTTTCTTTGTTTTACGTCAGCTGCGAGTAATAAATTATATTACACCGGAGATGAGCCCTTAACTTGCAGATATGAAGGAAGAGCGACAGGAAAATTAAAGGTTTTGGTAATGTACGCCTCTTTATTTCATTATTTGCACATTGTACACTAAATTGATCATTTTAAGGAGTGCTTTTCTATTTGACAAATAACTCAAAATGGCTACAGGGCAAAAAACTGTGCCAGAACTAAATTTTCAAAATCGACCAACTTGCACTGCATTCATGTGACATGAACGCAGAATTTTGTCAATAAAACATGTTTAAAATGATCATCAATGTTAGAAAAAAACTTGTTTAATATGGTCACGGTTCAGCTAGATGGTGATCACACAAGAAAACTCTACGCAAAACTCATTTGTATAAGGAATCTGTATAAAATTCCTTTACACCTTGCTACGACTAACTTGTACTGCATTTATATATTATGAAAGCAGAATTATTTGAAATCAATTGTTAAATATCTAGAGGGTGATAACATCGGGAGCTGTATTGTGGGATTCATACTTATAGATGAATCAGCTAATCATTTTCAAGCGTTAAATTGTTTCGCGTCTGATGAACAAACGAAACAGCAAAATGACCGCTTCCTGGTCTTGTTGGTTGATTAAAAAATAGTAATCATTTCGCTTGAAATGATTTAATTCACAAGGGAAAATATAATATTGGTGATACAGGAGTTTACATTACTTATATTTTAATCCTCGTAGTCTTACAACCATACAGGATGTTAATAGAATGTCAATTAAAATACATTTTACGGGCTATCGTACTGCACACTTACAAATACAACTGGCTAATGTTCACACATATTATAATCCAAACTATACTAGAAAAAACAAAAGTAAATATATTATAATATTAAAAATAAGGTTTCATAGGTTAATTAGGGTGGCAGAAGGTTCTAATGGCAGGTTACTGATCTACATTGGTGCCTGCAGATCAGTAGAGCAATAAATATCACAGCAAACAAAAACAGGTAGACTAAGGTTTGTTGTTTTGCAAAGCTACTAAAACGATCAAAAAAGTTATTATCTTAAATTCGCGCCAATGCCACCGTGACAGTGTTACCATAAATATCATTGTTGCTGCTGATAATAATCACTAATAATTTGATAAGCAGAAATAACGACACTGATTATATAAACCAATCAGTGTTAATGATTGAAGTTACTATTGGAGTATGATATTATTATAAACGTTTTTGGTGACATAGTATTTCCTTTCGTTGATGAGTAAATGTAGTTCATTTTACTTTGCTAAGTAACTTTGCCATGATTTTTCCTCGTTTCTCTTAACAAAACATTAATAACGTTCGACCATAAGCTATCGCCCTTATCGATCAGTTGCGCGCGTTTTCCGCATTCGAATTGCGCAGATGCCTTTTGTTTTGCTTTTGTCACTTTGTGTATGACGAAAGCTGGCTTCGTCTCGTTTCTCCTGACAAAACGTTAATAATACTCGTGCGTTCATATTCCGCATTCGAATTGCGCAGATACAGTCTATTTTGCTCTTGTCGCTTTGTGATGTGACAAAAGCTGATCACATCTCGTTTCTGTTGACAAAAGGTTAACCATATTCGACCATAACATACTGCGCTTTTTTTCTTTTCCTCATTCATCGCAATTGTTGAAATCTATCGATCGATCAGTTGCGCGCGTTCATTCTCCGCATTCGACTAACGCAGATACAATCTCTTTTGCTTTTATCATGTTTTATCGCTTTGTGATGCAACGAAAGGTGATTTTACCTCGTTTTTGTTGGCAAAGCATTAACCATACTCGACCATGAGGTATAGCGCTTTTCTCTTTTCTTCAATCACCTCAGATATTGAAAACTATCGATCAGATGCGCGAGTTCATTCTCCGCGCATTCCAATTGCGCAGATGCTTTCTCTTTTGCTTTTGTCGCTTTGTGGTGCGATGAAAGCTGATTTCACCTGGCTTCTCTTAGCAAAGCACTTGCAATACTCGACTATAAGCTATTTCGGTTGTTTTCGTTCTTTAATCGCCGTAATTATTGAAATCTATCGATCAATTGCGCGCGCTCATTCTCCGCATTCGACTTCCGAAAATGCTTTCTCCTTCGCTCTTTTCGCTTTCCTTATATGCGACGAAAGCGATTATCTTGTGTTATCTAACCATCAATGCAGAAATTATTAAAACCGAAAAACAAACATACCTTCAAAAGGGTAACATAAAACTGCTGATTTGGTGATCTGGTAGATCCTATTATGGCTCTCCAAAAGATCTAAAGAAAGAAATAATACATCTATAACAATCTTTACGACTAATGGTCATTTACATAATTGAGTTGGGAAAATCCAATAAAACATGACTTCATAAGGTCAGCACGATTAATATACTCAGTAATCAATGCGCAAATTACAATAACTACTGATAATTGTTGTTCTCTACCATTAATAATACAATCAGTACTGTTAATAGTATTAATAAAACACAGGTAAATGTCAAATTCACACTTATAATGTAAGATCCATGAATAACAAATGTTATTATTCTTATAGTACACCCTTATTAATACAGCCGTTTACCCAATACGTAAATGCATTTTTCCCGTGATGAGTAGTTGACTGTAATTCGTTTTATTTTGCTGGTAAACCTCAACCGATGATGTCGCTTCCTTTTTCTTTACAGAGCGCTAACAATATCCGGCCATAAAGTATCGCACGTTCTTTAAACCTACATTTATCGAAAGCTATCGAACAGCTGCGCGTGATCATTCTCCACATTCGGCTTGCTCCTAATGCTTTTGCCAATAAATGATTTAAGAAAATCTATGGTTTATTATGGTCACGAACTAACGAACCAGGCTCGCCCAAATTGGAAGCTTTCTTTCGGAGAATTATAATTAGATCTACTTATCTTGTACTTCTTCTCTGATTTATTAAAGTGATCCATCGTGGCGCAAAAAAGGTATAGCAATTGTTACAACTATTTTTCTT